ATTTAGATTTGATAACTGTGGCCATTATCATTGTTTGTCTACTATTCCAAAAGCTGGTGTTCTGTTGACAGAGCTGTCAACATTGACTGAAAGTTTTATGAGGTTGTGGTAAGGAAGGAACTGAGAGCATTGTTGCTAAGTTTGCAGCTGACACAAAGATAAGTGGAGGGACAGGTAGTGTTAAGGAAGCGGGGAGGCTGCAGAAGGACTTGGACATGCCAGGAGAGTGGACAACTAAGTGGCAGATGGAATACAATGTGGGAAAATGTGAGGTTATGCATTTTCATCGGAAGAATAGAGATGTAGACTATTTTCTAAATGGGGAAGACTTTGGAAATCTGAAGCACAAAGGGACTTATGAGTCTAAGTTCAGGATTCTCTTAAGGTTAATCTTGTAGGTTCAGTTGACAGTTTGGAAAGCAAATGCAATGTTAACATTCATTTAAAGAGTGCTAAAATACATGAGCAGTGTTGTGCTGCTGACGCTGGATAAGGCTCTGGCCAGACTGCATTTGGAATATTGTGAGCAATTTTGGGCAGTGTATCTAAGGAATAATGCGCTGGCATTGGAGGGGGTGCAGGGGAGGTTCACAAGAATGTTCCCAGGGATGAAAGGCTTATCATATGAGGAGTGTGAGGAATCTTGGATTCTATTCAATGGAGTTTAGAAGGATGAGGGGGAATCTCATTGAAACTTTCAGAATATTGAGAGGCCTGGATAGAGTGGAAGTGACAAAAATGTTTACACTAGTAGGAGAGTCTAGAACCTGAGGGCACAACCTCAGAGTGAAGGGATGACCCTTTAAAACTGAGATGAGGAAGAATTTCTTTAGCCAGAGGGTGGCTAATCTGTTGAACTCATTGCCAGAGAAGGCTATTTTGTCATGGAGTGTAATTAAGACAGAGATAGATCGATACTTGATTAGTAAAGAGATTAAACAGCCATGATCGAATGGAAATAGATAGCGATGAACAAACCTGTTAATTGATGAGCAATTGTTTCTCTCTCAGATAACTGTGCTGTGTAGACAATTGTGCTGTGCATTTGATTTAGGAGATGAGAAACCAGTAAGAATTCCTGCTGTGGATTGGATGGGACTGGTTCAGTGATATCATTAATGTAACATGAGACTATTCAACACTGAAATAACTGCACAGGGCCAGCTTGGAGTTAGTCTCCTGAACTGAAGAGATTCTAAATTTACTGTTCATATTGGTCAGCCAGGGCTTTCCTGATTGGCCTGGGTTAACACCCCAATCAAGAACCTTGTATTCAACAAGATCCATCCGGTTCCAATCATTACATCTGCACATCCTACCCCCATAAATCCAGGGATCAGGTCTGGTCGGTCTCTTGTAGCTTTTCCTGAGACATTTTCACCTCAGGTCCAGTTCCTCTGATTTGATCTCTAACATGGGTGGCACATAATGCCTTTTGCATCCGGAGTGTCTTAAGACAGTTTCCTCCTCTTCTTCCGGCAGTAATGGTATCAAGGCTACATCCATCTTGGACTCTGAGGTTTCCTCGACACTGGATGGAGAGGGAGAACCTACGATTTTTGACGGGCCTTCTGGCTGTATTGAGGGGCCAAGTACATTTTGCTCCTGCCCCGTTTGCAAGCTGACAGCTTTCAGGTGATCCACATGTTTGTTTCAGGACTGTATCACCTAACCGAACTTCGCAAGTCTCGGGACCTGACTTCATGTCAACCTCACCTCATACCCATACAGAGCCGTTTCCATGGTTCCAGCACCAAACTTCATTAAATTGTTTCTCTCGCTTAAAGGAGGCCTGTGGCTGGCATTGGCATTCCTGCTGCGGTTTCACCCTCCTCCCAGGTCTGGGAATATCAGGTTTAACCTGGTGCAGAGTTTTCTCCCTATCAGTGACTCTGCTGGAGCAAACCCTATTGTTGAGTGAGGGAAGGTCGTATAATTGAACAGTAACTGGGACAGTTTGGTATCAAGTGATGCTGTCGGCTGCTTCTTTAAGCGTGCCTTCAACATTTGGACCGTTTTTTCCGCTAGACCATTGAATGATGGATGGTGTGGACCTGTCTTTATGTGCCGAATGCTATTTGATTTTAGGAACTATTTGAATTCCCTGCTGGTAAATGACATCTGATTGTCCATGACCTATACTTCCAGGAGTCTATGTATTGTGAACAATGTTCACAGCTTCTCAATCGTCATCCCTGAGTTTGCTGAACAAACTTTATACACTTCCAACCACTTTGAATAGGTGGCCATAATGACCAGGAACATTGAACCCATGAAAGGACCGGCATAGTCAACATGCAAACGAGTCCAGGATTAACCCAGCCATTCTCACAAATGTGGGGGTGCTGCTGGTGGCAATTTTTGTCCTAGTTAGCAATCTGGACACTGCCCCACCAAGACAGCCATGTTGGCAACCAACCCTGGCCATCAGACGTAGCTTCTTGCTAGCATCTTTATCTTGGAAACCCCTGAATGAAGCTGGTAGAGTTCAGCCAGTATCTGGTGGTGACCTTTACTTGGGACAAACACCTTTGCTTTCCACAGTAATATGCCATCCTCTACGGTGATCTGGTCTCACTGGGTCCAGAAAGGTTTCAATCCGGGTTGAGATGGCCCTTCTGTTTCTTCCATTACCACCAGCTGTTTTAGTTTCACTAGGGCAGGATCTTCTTGTATCTACAGTTGGATATTGTCAGCAGTGACTTGAAAGGTGACCAGGAAGTTTAAAACCAAAACTGACTCTTCCAGGGGAGGTACCACCGGTGGAGTATCTACCGGTGGGAGACAGCTCAAGGCATCCACATTAGTCACTTGGCTTCCTGGATGGTGTTCTAACTTGTGTTGTACGTGCTGAGAATAAGGGCCCAAAGCTGATTTCTATCAGAAGCTATGGGCAGCACTGCCTTGTCTTCCTTCAATAGCCCTAGCAGGGATTTGCGATCTGTTATATGACTAATTTGCGTCTGTAATGGTACTGGTGGAACTTCCTCACTTGAAAGATGACAGCCAAATCTTCCTTCTCTATCTGCACGTATTTGTATTCACCATCAGCAAAAATCCAGGAAGCGTACACGATTGAAAATTCCTCTCCATTGGGCTTACGGTGAGCCAACACTACCTTAATGCTGTATAGGAAGGCATCGCATGTCAGCGCTATCTCTCACTTCGGATTGTAGTGGGCCAGTATCTAAGATGATGATAGCTGCTTTTTTGCTTCCCTAAAGGCTACTTCTTGGTATGTGACCATTGCCAAGGCTAACGCTTTTACAATAGCAGGTGTAAGGGTGCCAAGATGGAGGCCAGATTACATATGAATTTTCCGTAATAATTCACTAACTCAAGGAAAGACCTAAGCTCCTGTACAGACGTGGGTGCCAGGGCTCCTTTGATTGCCCTCACTTTATCTTCCAACAGGTGTAACACAGTTTTTTTGACTCTGCCACCCAAGTAGATCACCTGGGGTGCCTGGAACACATTTTTTCCGTCTAAGACGCACACCTGCCTGGGAGAAACATTTAACCACTATGTCCAAGTTGTCCAAGTGCTCTTTATTGGTCTTCCCTGTTATTAGTACGTCATCCAGATAAATGGAAACCTGGGGTAGCCCTTGTAAAATGTCCAAGGTCCACTGGCAAAGGGTGCAGGCTGATGATACCCCAAATGGCAGTTTCGTATATTGGTATAAACCCTTATGTGTAATAATTGTAGCGTACTTCTGGGACTCCTTATCCAGTCGTAATTGTAGGTATGCGTGGCTCATGTCCAGCTTCGTAAAGGACAGCCTCCCCACCAACTTTGCGTACAAGTCCTCTATGCAAGGGAGTGGGTATTTGTCCAGCAGTGAGAAGCAGTTTACTGTTTGCTTAAAATCCCCACAAAGGAGAACTGAGCCGTCAGGCTTTACAATCGGTACAACTGGTGCTGTCCATTTTGCAAACTGCACTGGCTTGATGATTCCTTCGCTCTCCAGCCTCCAGATTTCCACCTTTACTTTTGCTTACAAGGCAAATGGCACCAGGTGGGCCTTGCAAAATCTTGGAATTGCTTCCTGGTCAACATGTAAAGTGGCTTTGGCCCCTTTGATAGTCCCAAGCCCTTCCTGATAAACTCCTGGATATTTCACTAGGACTTCACAAAGGCAGCTATTTTCTAATTGAAAAATATTGCGCCGGCCTAGGTGAATCAACCAATTCTGTCGCAATAGGCTTGGGCCCAAACCTTTTACTAATATCAGTAGTAACTGCACTTCTCATAGGAGACAAGAACCGAAGTTGTACCCTTAATCTGCAAGGGTTCCCCAGGGTATGTTCTCAGTTTGGCTGATGTCTTGCACAATCTTAAGGGTTGGAGTCCCAAGTGAATCTTGTTAAATACAGCCTCTGCAACCACAGATACAGCTGCACCAGTGTCAACCTCCATGGGAACTGGGTGACCATTCAACCATGATTAATTTTAATCAGTTCTTATTTGGTCATTGCTGAGCAATTTAATTGTTTAATAGGGGTACTTTCCAGTGTGTGCACTCTCCTGGGTACTGGCCTATGGGTTTTCTTACTCAAGCCAGGCCTTGTAGGACTGCTTTGCTGTCTCAAGTCTGTATTTGGCAGCAAGTACAATGATTTGCTGGCCAAGATTCTAAAGAACATTTTAGCCACTTGGCTGAGTATCGGCTTTGTTGTGGGATTCTGCTGTGGACTGGCCTAGGGACCCTCTGCTCAGGAAATGCTTGTGTGAGGTTCTGCGATTGCCTACACTCAAGTGGTGTTCCCCAAGCTCAGTCGGATAGGTGAGGGTGCACACTTCCATTGGGATGCCCTGTAGCTCCCATGCTCAACTTGCCACATTTTCTAATGGTAAAGCCAGTTACAGTGCCTGTTTGAAGTGCAGTTGGGCTTCAGCTAATAACCACTTCTACATGGTTATGTCATTAATCCCACATCCCAAATGGTCTCTCAGCATCTCATTCAGAGTTAACCCAAAATCAATGCCTTTGCCAGTCGTCATAAACTTATTAAAAATCCCAATATGGATTCCCCCGATTCTCTAACAGCTAAATAAAACCAACAGTGTCTCAGGATTAGAGGAGGTTTAAGGTTGTAGTATTCCTTAACCAACTCAGTCAACTCTTGGAAGGTTTTAGTATCAGGTGCCTGTGGGAAAGTTAAGCTCCTTTTAATCGACAATGTTGCAGGTCCACAAGCAGTTGAAAGGATTATTCGTTGCTTTTCATCTGCCCCAATGTCATTTGCCAGAAACAATTTCGCGTTCTTTCCACATACTGCCTTCAACAGCAGGATCAAATGAGTCAAGCTTCCCAAATAAAGGCATGATGCCAGAAATACTTACCCTAACTCGAGGATGACTGTAGCAAGTGAATGTTCTTTAGGCACGTACTATTTTCTCTTGTCACCACTGAAATAACTACACACAGGCCAGCACCCCATCACCAAGTCACCCTTTATTTACCTGTGCACACTACATGGCTGCTGTCAGCCAGCTCAGAGTCATTCCCCTGAACTGAGGTGATTCTAAATCTCCTGTTTAAATTGATTTCCTTCATAGTCAATGAGGTCCACCTGGATCTATCACTACAAACACCCACATAAATTTTTAAGTATTGTTGAAAATAAAGACATTTTATCAAAGCTTTTCATCTTGCATCAGGATAATTTGCAAGAATACCAATTCAAGGGGCAAACCACCTGCATGACAGGAGAGTTTTGATTAATTGGCAAATGGACTCTGATTAGTAAGATACTGTCAGAGATAATGCTGCCATTAATGCAGATTTGCAGTTACATTGTACTGGGAGCAAACTATATTAATACACAATGTCCTGTTGTTTGCAACAGAACTCTTTTCAGTCATACCATAGTTTCTATATGCCCCTTCATCTTACCATGTGATTTACTTTTTACCACTTTACTCCTGCAGCCCTTTCCCCTTCTTTATGAAATATTATTTTCTGATTATATCAAAGGTAACTGGGGAATGGTCCACAGTAGCTAAACTTTAATAAATATTATTCATATATCAGCTCTGACAGTGAATTTACATGGCAAGGTGAAGGGGCACAAAGAAACTACACCATATCTGAAAAGTAATAGATGCCAACTTTTATCATCTTACCGAGTTAACCACCGCATTCAAAGACTTCTTGGTATTGCATTTTAATCTTTCTGAAGATCTTTTCCTGATTATCTCTTCATGCAAAAAGTATGCACGATCTCTTTGAGCTTCTGGGTAAAATGATGACAAGATCAATATTTTCAATGTTGCAAGTTTGGCAGAAAGCAATGTGAGTAACACAAGGGCTGACGTTATTGCAGTGAGTGGGATCCACATGTCATTAATTGTAAGGGTTGGTTCAGGAAAGCAATCACTCGGAAACAAAGGTGCACTATATGAAATATTTGCCTATAGAAAACAAAAGGAATAAACACGTCCATTAATGTGTATTCCTGGATAACTGAAGCTCTAATGACACATAAGAAACTTGAAACCATCCAGAACACTTGATTGGCACCATATCCACAAACATCCACTCTCTCACTACCAATGCTCAAGAGCAGCTGTATGTAACATTTACAAAATGCACTGCAGGAATTCACCAAATTTTCTCGAGCTGCACTTTCTGAATCTGTGACCACTAACATCTAGAAGGACAGGGGCAGCATATACATGGGAACACCATCAGTTGAGAATTCCCCTCCAAGCCACTCATTATCCTGACTTGGAAATATATCACGCTCCTTCAGTGTAACTGGGTCAAAATCCTGGAACCCCACCCCTAGTTGCACTGTGGGTTTCCCTGCAGCAACTAGATTACAGTGGTTCAAGCTCACCACTATCACCTCAAGGGCAACAAGGGATGGGCAACAAATGCTGGCCCAACCAGTGACGCCAAAATCCCCTGAATTAATGACAAAAAAAAGAGACTTGAAAGAGTAAACAAGAGAAACTATTTCCAATGGCTGAAATATGCAATGAGTAATTATGATTTGGAATACAGGATCTCTGAGAACCTGTAGCTTACAAAAGGGGATTGAATAAATACCTGAACGGGAAAAGAAATGCAGGATGTGGAAATAGAATGGGGAGTGGGAGTGACTGGACTACTCTTTGATGGAGTTGGAGCAGACTCAATATACCCGATGGCCTCTTTCTGGGCTGTAAGTTTGTTTGATCTTGCATTGTCCAGTTACAATATAACATATATCCTAAGCATCGGTACAATGTATCAATAAAGTGCACTCAAACATGACCTAAAATATGTTAAGTTTGCAAACATATGAAATAGGAGCAGAAGAACACCATTAGGCCCTGTTCTACCATTCAGTAAGATCATGGCTCATCTGTTTATGTTTTGAAATCCACATTTACATCTACCTCAATAACCTTAATTCTCTGCCTACAAGAATCTATCGACCTCTATCTCAAAAATATTTAAATGACCCCGCTTCTATCATCAAATGAGGCAGAGCATTCCAAAGTTAGTCCACACCCGTGAGAAGTAGAATTCTTCTCATCTGTGTTTTGAATGGGTGACTACTGATTTTAAAACAGTGTCCCCTAGTCCTGGGCTGACCTGCAAGAAGAAACGTCTTTTCCACATCCAACTTGTCAATTATATTCTGGATCATATACATTTCTATCAAGTGACCAGACACTCATCTAAACTGCAGAGGAAACAAGCCCAGTCTGTTGAACATTTCCACATAAGACAACAGGCTCATTCCAGTTATCCCTCTAGTAAACCTTTTACATCCGTGACACCACCCACGCCCTTCACCTCCTCCAGAACTTCCAATTCCCCGGTCCCCAACACCTCATCTTTACCATGGAAGTCCAATCCCTATACACCTGCATTCCCCATACAGATGGCCTAAAGGCCCTCTGCTTCTTCCTGTCCCTCAGGCCCGACCAATCCCCATCCACTGACACCCTCATCTGCTTAGCCGAACTCGTCCTCACCCTCAACAACTTCTCTTTCAATTCCTCCCATTTCCTACAGACAAAGGGGGTGGCCATGGGTACCCGCATGGGCCCAAGCTATGCCTGCCTCTTTGTAGGTTACGTGAAACAATCCCTCTTCCGTAGCTACACTGGCCCTAAACCCCACCTCTTCCTCCGTTACATTGATGACTGTTTCGGCGCTGCCTCGCACTCCCACGAGGAGCTCAAACAGTTCATCCACTTCACCAACACCTTCCACCCCAACCTTAAGTTCACCTGGACCATCTCTAATACCTCTCTGTCCTTCCTGGACCTCTCTGTCTCCATCTAGGGCAACCACCTAGAAACCGATATCCATTTCAAGCACACCAACTCCCACAGCTACCTAAAATACACCTCCTCCCACCCACCTTCCTGCAAAAATGCCATCCCCTATTCCCAAATCCTTCGCCTCCGCCGCATCTGCTCCCAGGATGAGGCATTCCACTCCCGTACATCTCAGATGTCCTCGTTTTTCAAGGACCGCAACTTCCCCACCTCAGTGGTCGAGAACGCCCCCCACCGTGTCTCCCGCATTTCCCGCAACTCATCCCTCACACCCCGTCCCCGCAATAACAACCAAAAAAGAATCCCCCTCATCCTCACGTACCACCCCAACAACCTCCGGATCCAACGCATCATTCTCCGACACTTCCGCCATCTGCAATCCAACCCCACCACCAAAGACATCTTTCCCTCCCCACCCTTATCTGCTTTCCAGAGGGACCACTCTCTCCGTGACTCCCTTGTCCGCTCCACACTCCCCTCCAGCCCCACCACACCCGGCACTTTTCCCTGCAACCACAGGAAGTGCTACACCTGCCCCCACACCTCCTCCCTCACCCCCATCCCAGGCCTCAACAAGACTTTCCACATCAAGCAGATGTTCACCTGCACATCTGCCAATGTGGTATACTGCATCCGCTGTACCCGTTGTGGCCTCCTCTACATCGGGGAAACCAAGCGGAGGCTCGGGGACCGCTTTGCAGAACACCTACGCTCGGTTCGCAATAAACAACTGCACCTCCCAGTCGCGAACCATTTCAACTCCCCCTCCCATTCCTCAGACGACATGTCCATCCTGGGCCTCCTGCAGTGCCACAATGATGCCACCCGAAGGTTGCAGGAACAGCAACTCATATTCCGCTTGGGAATCCTGCAGCCCAATGGTATCAATGTGGACTTCACAAGCTTCAAAATCTCCCCTCTCCCTACCACATCCCAAAACCAGCCCAGCTCGTCCCCACCTCCCTAACCTGTCCTTCCTCCCACCTATCCCCTCCTCCCACCTCAAGCCCCATCCCCATATCCTACCTACTAACCTCATCGCTCCCTTGACCTGTCCGTCCTCCCTGGACTGACCTATCTCCTCCCTAACTCCCCATCTACACTCACCTTTACTGGCTCCATCCCCGCCTGTCTGTTTCCTCTCCACCTATCTTCTCCTCTATCCATTTTCTATCCGCCTCCCCCTCTCTCCCTATTTATTTCAGAACCCCCTTCCCCTCCCCCATTTCTAATGAAGGGTCTAGGCCCGAAACGTCAGCCTTCCTGCTCCTATGATGCTGCTTGGCCTGCTGTGTTCATCCAGCTCTACACCTTGTTATCTCCAATATATTTACATTCTTTCTTAAATAAGGAGAAAAAACTATTCACAGTATTTCAGATGTGGTCTCACCAATGCCCTGTATAACTGAAGTATAAACTCCCTACCCATATGTTCAACTTTTCTTGTAATAAAGGATAGAATCCAGTTAGCCTTATTGATTATATGGTGTACCTGCACACTAGCCGTTTCTGAATCATGCACCAGAACAACTAAATCTCTCTGCATCTCAGATTTCTGCAGTCATTCATTTTTAAATAATATTTTGTTCTTTTTTATTCATCCACTAAAAGTGAACAAATTCACATTTTCCCACATTATATTCCATCTATCAGATTTTTGTCCACTCATTTAACCTATCTATATCTGCCTGCAATCTCCTTATGGCTTCACAGCATACTTTCCTATTCATCTTGAGGTTGTCTGCAAATCTAACTGCAATCTTTGCCTTCCCTTCATCTAAATTGAGGTCCCAGCAGAGCCAAATGCACAATTTCACTTGTCACTTGTCCATCAGACAAAGACCCATTTCTGCATGCACTCTGCAGCATGATCTTTTTAATGATTGATTCTAACTCTTTCCCCATGACAAATATTAGGCTAATCAAGCCATAGTTGTCTGTTTTCTGCCTCCCTCTATTTTAGAAGAACAATGTCAAATTTGCTACTTCCCAGTCTGATGGAATCATTTCTGAATCTAGGAATTTGAAAAATTAACACGAACTTATCAACCAGCTCATCAGCTATCTCTTTTAAGACCAGGAGGAAGTCCTTCAGGACCCAGAGACTTATCAGCATGAGCTCTATCAGTTTGCTTAGTACCACTTCCCTTGTGATTGCAATTTCATTAAGTTCCTCTCTTCCTTATGCCTCCAGATTTACAGTTATTACTGGAATGTTTTCTGTATTCTCTATTGTGAAGACAGAGCAAAATATTTGTTCATTTCATCTGCAACTTCCATCTTATGTATTATTAACTCCCCATTCTAATTCTCTAGAGGACTAACAGTTACTTGGTTTAATGCTCTCCTTTTAAATAACTCTTGCCAGCGGTTGTTTCTAGCTCATTTCCTCTCATGTTCTAATTATTTCTCCTGATTAATACTTTAGTCATTCTCTGTGATTCTATATATTCTGACCAGTCATCTGACCTGCTAGGCATCTTTGTGCAGTTATTTGCTTCCTTAGCTTCCCATTGCTTTGTGTGAATCACATGCAATGTTTGCAGATCTTTCTATTTAATTTTTGTAACATGTGCTGTTTTTCTTTCAATTTTGACTTTGATAAGCATCAAAATGATTTAAACTTGCCTGGGTAGATTTTGACTTTGTTCTGTGGGTAGTGTGACATGGGTGATAACAATATCAGAAACCCATTTCTATCTGTATTAACTGGAAATAAATAAAAATTTGGAGACGTTCTGGCCACAATACTTTAGCACTGACATTGAAATATTCGAGAGGATGGAGAGTAAAATTACTCAAAGGATAAGGAAGGGGCTTCTATTACATGAAAGGAATAGAGAAACTGGGACTGTTACGCTTCCACCAAACTGAGTTTGGGAAAAATTTAGCAGAGGCATTCAAAATCATTCAGAAATTAAGAAAAACTGTTTCTATTCGCGTAATGATTGGTAGGCACAGGATACAGGGTAAAGATTTAAAAAACCAAAAGAACTGTGCTTGCTGGAAATCAGAAACAAAAACAGAAATTGTTGGGAAAGCTTAGCGGGTCTAGCAGCATCAATGCAATTTCTGTTTTTGTTACAGATGTAAGACCATTGGCAGAAAACACAGCAGTAAAATGAGTTGAAATT